GTTTTATGACTAAATGCTTTTTGTTGCAGCTGGAGATGGAAGATGAGGACACTATTGATGTATTTCAGCAACAAACAGGAGGAGTCTACTAAGTGGCATTTGGACTATTGGTGTAACATCAGATTTTGTTCATGTTGTATTGTTTATTTCTACAAGTTAAGTTTTTTTTGTTTTTGTTTGTTTTCCTTTTCTGTGCTTGGCTCAATGCCAGGCTCATGTTTTTTGTCAGACATTCAGGGGTTGGGGGGCAGGGCAATCCTAAGTCTGAAATAATGCAGAGGAGCCCTTTTAAAAGTGTTTTATTCTCCTAAATGAACTATTTGTCTGAAGCTGGGGCTTACCTCAGATCGGACATCTTGTAAATGGAGGGATTGTGTGACAAGATGTGCTCAAAACTCTTGAATCATAAGCCTTATTCTGTCTCTCAATTTATAAGCATTTAGACTTAAAACGGGTTCAAATGTTTTAATTGACATACTGGTTAAGATATTGTGTGAAATTCTCCTCTGCTTGAGGCTGATTCCGATGTCTGATAGCATTTTTACAACCATGTAACATATTTAACATAAACAGGAGAAAATCTTGTGCAGCAAAGGGTTAAGTATCCATATTATATTTAAAGCCAATCTAAATAGTGTTGTATGGTTTGCAGGACCAAAAATGTGGATCTCTAAGGGTTGTAGATGTATAAGTTACTGTACATTGTTGGTTCCTTAGTCGTACGTAGGGAAAACCGTTTCCTTCACTTGTAAATTGACTTTGTCACATGTAACTAAACTTTCAGAGTGGAAAACCAGCTCACCTTTTTGGTCCATTACAGGCGCATTTGTATACATGCAAAGTCATGCAAACTGTCTTGACAATTTTTTGAATAGGTTTGTAAAAAGTTCATAATCTTTTTTTTTTTTTGGTAGCTGCCTATTGTTTATTACTGGGATTGTTTTTTTTGTTTTGTTTTTTTTTTTTTTGTTACCTTGAGAATGTCCTCCGGTGTTCTAAATGTAACTTTTAAGAGCAAGTAGGGACATTGGCTTTTCTTCCTCATTTGTACATTATTTGTCCCTGTTCAGTGTACAATAAATATAGTTTGATACCTCTTGAATTGTCTGCCTGACCTTCATTTGTGGGAAATTGCTGAGAGGATTTGCATAGTTAAATATTCCCATGAGCAGGCTGTATTGGGCTATAATTTTTATACAGTGCTATGAAAATGTGTTTGACCCCATTCAAGATTTTCTATTATTCTATTTTGTCACACTTAAATGTTTTAAATAATTATATCAAAGAAAATATGATTTAATACAAAAGGCTGCAAATAATTCCATAAATTAAAAGGGGGATCTTGAACAACTTGGTCCTATATGGAAAAAGTCCCTCCCTAAACCTAAATGCCATTAATCATTTGTGATGACTAATTATATACAACCATAGGGACTTCTGCCCATTGTTCATTGCAGAAATGTTTAAATCCATGTCCACTGAAGGGTTATAAAGCATGTTCATCCCATTTAAGGAAATGCCACTGCACATATATTACTAAACACTTTTGTTACAAGGTGAAGTAGGTTAAATCCTTGGGATATTTTTTTTTATAAAGATATAAAATGTAGGAGCGCTTTGACTATGGGAAAATATCCGTAATGATTATTTAGGACCTTAATGAGGGTTATTATTTACTGAATGGGTGTAAAATTCAAACGTCCACCATGAAATAGATTTGACCTTTTTCTGTGTAATACAAACAATATGCACTAGAGGGCGTGATTATGCCTTCGGTTGATTCTTTCACAGCTCATTTCAAACTCAAAATTCTGCAGCCCCGAAATTACAACTACAAAAGCATATCTGTTGCTCCAGACGAGGGCTGAAATCTCACGTACCTCCTCCTATTTAAGCAAACTTGATTTCACAGATGTTCTTGACCAGCAGCTAAGTGAACTCCCCCCATGAGGTTGCTCACACAAAGGTCTGATTGTGTTGCATTTATTTCTGGCACTTTCTTTGAATGTTATGTTTCCTCAGGCGGGTTTTAGATATCTGCATATTTCCAGAAATGGCTCAGAAACGCAGCCGTCTTATGCCCCCTCCGCCTATACATTTAACCTCCTGCTGATGGCTGAACCAGAACTTCTTTTTTTTTTTTTTTATGGACTGCTCACAGCTGGCTGGTGTAGCTACTTTGTGGAACATCTCAGCAAAGATAAACTGAGTCATCTCTGAAATTATGGAAAGAAAACAATGACATTGTTTACATAAACTGTGGGAGGTAACACTACTGCGTTCATTCAGTTTTTTTGTCAATAAAATGACCGTTGGTCGTATAGCACTCATGACTCATTACACAACCTCATTTGTTTGACAGTGCATTTATGAGAGCTACACTGATTGTTATTGTATTAGTGTTGATTCAGTGAACAGCTTGTGTCATGTGCCTTTCTGCTGTGACAGTGGTGAAAGGGTTGCTTATTCATAAGAATAAGAAGTAGTTCACTTACAGTCACATAAATGTCCATTCACACATAAAAACGTGTGTGAACAGAGGGTGATTATATTTTATTAAATTTGTATGTCGTATAGAAATACATTTTACGCTTGCTTAAATTGTTTGCTGTAATTTACCCTAGGGAGGCTTGTTTTGGACAATTTTCAAATGTAAGCAAATAAAAACACCTGAAATAAATCTTTTGGTGGTTGTCTCTAACAACTTTGCAGGTCTAGGGACTGATTTTATTTTATTTTTTTGCCCATTCTTCCCATCAAAATACCTCAAGCTGAGATTGGATTGGGAGTATCCATCAAGAAGAATCTCAATCCAAGTATCGGAGTAACATTGAAGTCCGGCCACAGATTCTCAATTGGATTTCGGTCTGGACTTTGACTGGACCATTCTAGAACATGATTACATTTTGATCTAACATTGTTACACTGTGACTTTTGTTGATGTCGTTTACGGGCTTAGGGTCGTTGACCTGTTGGAAGGTCAACCTTGTTCTGTGTTTCAAATTATTAGCAGACTCTTAAAGTTTTCATACAAGGATCACTGCATATTTAGCTCCATCCAGCTTCCTATCAGTTCTGCCCAGCATTCTTGTCCCTGATGAAAAAACAATTTTATTTATATCTCCCTGAGAAGTTATGAATGCCATACTCCAAAACATTTACAGCAAATATATACCAGTTTCAATTAATTTATTCCTTCAACAACTTTAAATTTCTTTGACCCATTTAAGTTGCAGCAGTCCAACTATTTAACCCTCCTCTTATGTTCGTTTCTGATGTACAGCAATAATGTTCGTGGGTCAATTTGACCTGCAACATAACAGGAGGGTTAACGTATATATTCAACAGTTGAAGAAAATGTCTTTTAATGAGGTATGTTCTATTATCTTGTTGATTCAAGTTTAATGTTAAATAAAATCCATTGATTATACAGTATGTTTTAAAAGACCATAATCCAAGTCAATTAAATACATTAAACTGACAACCTTAATGGACTTTAAGTATTAGCTGTTTATGATGCTCGTCACACTGCGAAGAAACTGCAGCCAGGAGAAGTCATATGGATGGAGAACATGTAATGATTTCATGAGGTCAGTCAGCTGTGCTTCCCATCCTCAGTGAGCTAAACTCAGATGTGACACCCTCCTCTGTGGAATCAGTCCAGCAGCCTGAATGGAGCCACTGTCCCTGTGGAGAACTTCTGGATTACCTCCAGATCTCCCCATGCTGATGTCACCTTCCAGAGCATGAAGCCAGTCCCCACCCTAAACAACAGATCCGATTTCTTTTCAGTGCATGTGAGTGATCTTGAAAACAGAAAACGAAAGAAGAGTGGCTTTTCTTCAGAGTTCCACAGAAAACGCAGTCATTACTCTTCCATGATGAAGAGTCACTGTCACTGCCTTGAATGGAGATGTGTACATAAACTGAGGGTTTACTTCCCTAAACATTCCTATAAAGATACATGTTGCAATTAGAATAATTACTTTAACATTGATTAGTGTTAAAGTAATCAATGTGGTACAATACAAATGTTTTGTGTTGTACCAACTCAACACAAAACATTTGTGCTCTGAAACTGATGTGGCTGAACATGAAAACCCAACTATGAAAAGCTTTTAATTTCACAATAAGTTTGTGATTAAATAAAATATGTTTGTATGGTTTGTCAGGGATATTTCCCACGAAATAGGTATTTGTTACAGTACACAAATTAGAATGTTAATGAAAAGTTCATTTATTTCAGTAACTCGAATCACTAACTGAATCACATTAAATATAATAATTACACATATGATGTTTCATGCCCTTCTCTCTGTTAATTATCATTTTGCATTTAAGTTAATGAAAACATGACATTTAATTTCTTAGAAGATTAGAATATTCAATTCCAAACAAAATAAAACATTTTCACACAGAAATTAAAATGAAATATTTTTGAGCTTATGTCAATATGTGTATTATTAGAACATTAGCTGAAAAACTTGTTGGGCACATGCAATGAAAAAACAAGTGGATGACTATACATTTATTTTTATATGTAGACCAAGTGAAACCAGATTTAACACACAATAAATGCAAATTTATTTCATCTTTAAAAACGATCTGAGGAAGTTTAAAAAGTTGGATTGAATGATTGACTTTGCATGAATCTTTTATCCCTAAGTACTTAGCGACAATGACCCAGTATCTTTTAGCAGGAGCTAATTCAGCTAAATACCGCTAAGGTTGGAGTACTTTCTATGAAAAAGGAAACAAGAAAAGCAATGATTTTTTGGATTCAAAACTACTTCTGAAATTAGAAGTTCTAGTACTTGTGGTTTGTGGTCCATTTGGTACGTTTTATTGCTTCCTGTTTGTAAGAAGATAGCAATCAAATGACGTATTTTATTTACACTATACATTGCTTCCTTCCTAAGGGGGACCTGTGGCGCTAACGTTGTTTGCTTTTTCAGTGAACTCCAACTACCACAATGCAACACCGTAAACTATCGTCTCCTTAGCTACGGGTTTGGGAGCTACGCCCCAACATGAAGTGAGAGGCTTGGCCCCGTGAAAGGGCTCCCAGAGAGCCCCCTCCTTCCTCCTTAACAAGCTGGTCAGCAGTGCAGGGATTAGGAAAGCCAGCTCCGCTCAGGGACTACAGACACACCGGGGATTGAAATAAGCGTGAATCATGCCCATCGTCATCTGTGTCGGCTGGGAGCGGAGCCGAAATTGTGAAAGATACGGATAATACTAGGAGGAGGAGGAGAGGTGGAAAGAGTCACGCTCCCAGGTCTTCCTTGTGGAAAATGCCTCATCGGGGACTCCGCTGCTGCCGCTCGGACCCGTCGCATTATGCCGCCCACCTCTCATGTGTTTTATTTTAAAGAAGAAGAAGAAGACGAAGAAGAAGAAGCAGTGACCTGGATAAGCCCGATAAGAGCCGCATAAACGGGCAGAAAACGTAAGGGCGTGTGGGATACACTTCCAATAAATTGCGGGGGATTTTCATCGAGAGTTAACAAGAAGGAGAAAAGTTGTGGCCGCTTGCTGGTGTTTTCTATAAAAAAAAAAAAAAAAGGAGCAAACATGGGGAACGCAGGGAGCATTGACCAGCACACCGACCACCGACACAACATGCCCCTGAAACTGCCCATGCCAGAGCCGGGGGAGCTGGAGGAGAGGTTCGCACACGTTCTGGTAAGAGGAAAAAAAAAAAAAAAGTTGTGTCCATGTGTCTCCCCTCTTTGTTCTCTCCACGCTTTAGTGTCCTGGGACAGGACAGCTGTGGACCTCTGTCCAGATCGCCTGAGAAAAATCTGTTGGCCATTTAGGGCAAAAACCACATTGAGAACAAAAACAACTCTTTACTAGGTTTAAAAGTGCATCCAACGTATCTGCGTTTAGAAAAACTTTCAGTTTGACTTTTAAATGTTATCAAACATTTCACTGCTGAACTGTGAATATTTTAGCTTTGCCTTTCAGTCAGTTAACCAGCCAAAAATATTTTTACTAAACCCCTCTTTAATACGACGTAGCAATGCAAAGCTTTCCACAACCAAAATAATCTATTTATGCTATATATATATATATATATATATATATATATATATATATATATATATATATATATATATAAATTGGACTTACATCCAGTCATCTACAAATATCAATTTTATTTCCAAGAAGTCTTCATTTTAAAGTTTTTTAGGAAAATTTGACAACACCGTTGACTGTCATAATTTAAAAGTTAAATTAAGGTAAAAATGACAAAAAAAAAAAAAAAAAAACCCAAAACAAAACTGTTCAGTTTATGAATAGCAGCTACGCTCTCCAACTACAGAAGTTTAAAAGAGCAATTTCCAGATGGGCAAAGTCATCAGTCCTTGGTTTATTGTGGACATTAGTCTATCCTCAAAGTGCAAAGTAAGACAAAGTTCTACAAAGTTTGAGAAAAGTTCTGGATTCTCTAAAGAGATGTCAACTTGGAGATCTCAAGTACTTGAAGATGCTAAGAATATATTCAACTACTGTAGGATAGGATTTTACCCAACATATCTTTGCATACAAAATGTACCAGTACTTTATCCAAGAAATCAGATTATAAAGTACTCTATAATGTATTCTTTGCACTCAATTTATTATAAAACGTACAGAGTTTAAATAATGTCACTATTCTGAAATTAAAGTTCCATCCACATAATCCATTTCTCTACTTAATCTGATTTGAAAACAAAACCAAAACACTATAAAACCAAACACTGTTTGGAATATTGCGACATGTTTCAGGCTGTGCAAGATGTAGGACGCACCTGCACCGTCGACATGGAAAGTCATTGGCTTTATTGCCCCAGTTTTCTTTCAACTTTATGAGTCCAGACGCCGGCTCACTGCTAAAGTCTTAAGTGCTCAGCATGCCAGGTCTTTTGCAGAAACTCTTGTCGCATCATAAAGTTCCAGTTGATCTGTCAACAATTATGTTGCAAGGCTAGATGGACTTTGAAAATTCTTCCAGCTGCTGTGTATGCCCAAGACAAGAACAAGTCTTTGGATTGGCTGCATGTCCTCCTGATGCAGTTGGGATCAAAAGCATTATTTGCAGTCGTTTTACAAAGTGTAATTAGGTAAGCTACTGATGTAGATAAGTAGTCTCTTTTTCTCTCTGTGTTTTTTTTTTTTCCCCTGCTTGCTGCTGAATAGACCTGCGCAGAGGAATAGTGAGGTTGAAATCTGAGAGCTGGAAAAATGTGGGTCAGACGTGATTGTTGCCTGGCCTGGTGTTCTCATACATCAGCTGTTTAGAAGAAAGATTTAACTTTAGTAAACATTTTTAACTGGTATTTGGTTTTGTTTCAGAAGTGTACTTCTCTTGTTAATGTTGAATTTTTGGACAGCATTTGCACAGATTACGCATTTTCCTCAGAAATGGAAGTGGGATTGTTGTTTGACAGACAGGCCTGTGGTTAGGGTGTGATTGCTGCTCATCGGATATGGATGAGTCTTTTTAATTGCCAGAGGCAGCTTCAGACTTTTTTTTTTTTGGTTTTTGGTGGGGAGGAAGTGTTGGAAAGCTTTGACGTCGTGTTCCTTGAAGGATTATTCGTACTCTTCGTTTTGAATGTCAGCAACTCATCTTCCTCCTCTAATTAGTGGGTTTAAAATGATGTGGATCCATAAAGTTTACTTTAGATAATCCCTCGTTATGTGGCTTTCCAGAAACAAACCTACCTGTCTAAACTGAAGATTTCCTGGACTGACCAACAGTAAAGCTGATCCTCATATAGCATGTCGGGGAACTCTCTCTCTCTTTCTGCTGCCAGCTTGATCCCTCATCTCTTGGAGAGATGGAAGCCCTTTGGCATCAGAAGAATTTGGTGCTATTACCAGAGCATTTAGTGTGAGTTACCACCCTTTAAACTCTAATGTGTATATCAGCTGTTGCCGATGTCGGTCAGCTCTTTTGAGTGGCTCTGTGTGACTCTGACCCAAGGACCAGATGATAAGCATGATCCCTCTCTCAGGCTTCTTTGTTTCCAAAGATGTTTTTAGTTCTGATGAGTCAAGATTTGTGCTTGGCTCTTGTTCAGTGCCACTCATTAATCACTTCCTGTGTAACACCTCCCCCACTATTAATAATCTATCTGACTAATTTACTCTTACATGAGTCTTGTTGTACTCTAATCTTCATACTTGGGACCTGTTGATCAAAGAGTAGTGCAGGACTGTTTACTCGCCAGCCGTAATGGGTCTGATCAACTGGCAAGCCCTTGCATCACAGCAGGGAGCTGCTGAGATTAAAGACCTCAGCTCTACGTGACCACATTTAAGCGGTCTGCTGAATTTCTCATTAGGCTACGCTGAATTTGAATTTCCACACTCTGTGATGTGGAAAGCCCTCCCTCAGCTCTAATATTAACTCTTCACATCTCTGACTTCTGTAGTCAGAAAGACGGTCACAGGGTTTGGAGGTCGAGTTGAAGGTAAAAAGTCGATACCACTTAAGCTAATAGTTTCTAAGTATCACCACACGAACTAAAAACTTTTAAAACATTCCTTCAAGTTCAACAGAATATGTATCAGTTTGTGGTGTATGTGTGTTTTTTTTATGTTGGAAAAAATGATCAGAAATATTCCTCTGAACATGGTTTTCATACCCCAAAGTCCAACATGGCTGCCACATTTTTAAAATTAGTGATGGGTGTCTCATTCATCAATTTCCCTCAATTATTCAAGGAGGGTGCCCCGCCCAAAGAAGATCACTGCATGTCGTAATTTTACTTGTTCACAGTTAATGCAATTAATCTTATCAGCCTAGCTAAACAATGACAGATTACATCATGAGCTAGTTCTGTCCTACGTCGTTGGTCCTCTACTTTTAGTTCTTTTTGTATGAAACACCAAATTTGACTAAGGCTAGATGAAAACACCTCCTTCATACTGTTTCACAGTCTTGTGCACGTGCACAGAAAAACACGTCACAAAAAAACCAGCAGAGCAGGCAAGGATATCTGCATTTGTTAAATGAGCTGAATTTTGTTTTGATGGCAGCACATACTCTCCTGTGAGTAGCAGCAGCAGTATGCAAAATAACCAAAGTTCTTCATGCCCTGCCCCTGACACACTGAAACATCCAGCCATAACTGAATAAAAGGTTTTGACCTGACTTGCCTGTCAGTGGAGAAATACTCTCTCGGGCTGTATAAGATTGAGCTTGGTAAGGAAATACGTAAGCATGATAGTTAGCGAGAGAGATACAGAAGAGACAGAATCAGATAAAATATGAGATCAAGAGACAGACAGACTCACCTAAATGAAGTAACAGATTAAAAAAACGATCACAAAAGAAAGCCACACTTATTTTTTTCCCTCTGGAATGTTCTGTTAAATATTTTGAAAATGTCAAATAACCTGCTGAAGTTTTTGTCTGTGAACACATCCCACATGACCAAATCTTTAGAGGAAAATGCTGTCGTATCTCTCACCCACATTACTGTAATCCGTTAAAGAGAAATGCATTGTTGGCTTGAGAAAAGATCAGGAGGATGAAATAGTCATTTTGTTGTAGTCTAAGCCTTCCTGTTATTTTTCAAAGTTTTGCACTCTTTTTTTTTTTTTTTTTTTTTGGCCCCGTGAATAATTGGCCCATATTATCTCTGTGAAAAATACAGTTAATTTAAAAAAAAAAAAAACTTCTTACATCTTTGTGCTTCCTGAATTTATTTTAAACATGTTATAATACCGAAAAATAACCATCTTCTTCCTTCAGTAACAACTTTTACAATGAAGAGTTGTGTTGCTACCACGACCTACTAGCATTTGGGTATGGTATGATCAATAAGCAGGAAAAAGGTAAAATGTTTTTGTTTCTAACACAGAACAAGATCTTTTTTAGTTTTCTTATTTAAACCGTTAAATTCCAGTACATTTCTGCAATGCATTTGTATTGCAGAGCTTTCCAACACTGCACAAGTTTTTTTTTTCTTTTTTTTTTTTCCCATCAGTTATTTGCTTTAGTACGTTACACCTTCAAGGTAGTAAGCCTGACAGGCTGAACAGAGTTGTTTGCCAAGTTTTATTTCCATATCTACACAAATGAAGTCACTTTTGACAATACCAGGGACTAAGAGTCGGTTGTATCTTCTTATTGATGTTGAGTTTAACAATTTCACAATTTATTTAGAAGGCAATTTAAGGATTTAACAGCCTTCATGTGAATGCATTTCCAGATTATGTGGGTTTACAACTTCAAAGGAAAACTAAAAAGCTGCAGTAGGTTAAGTTTTAACCCACCCTGTCCTGGATAAGACGATGTTTGAGTCTGCAGGTTCCTTCAAATGAAAAGCTTCCCTTGAATCCAGTCTCACGGATCCCTGGTGTTATTGCCTACTATTTGAAACAAACTAATTGTATTATAATTCCTCAGCCATGACGCAAGCTTTTGATTCACATGCGACCTTGGCCATGAAGTTAGTAGAAGGTTTAGCCCAAATAGTATCTTGTTTAAAGTACACAGTGGGCATTTTGCAGTTTGCATGGCTCCATTTAAAGCCTCGTTTGCACTAAGAGATCTGGCGATTAATTGTCAGAGTTTAAGGTTGATTGTTTCAGGCATGCAAAACTATCAGCGGTTATTATGCTTATATATTGCAGAGAGATGGTGGAAGAAAAGTGTTGACGACAAACATAAAGACGGCGCCTTC